AAGAGCAGCGTCCAGCTGATAAGTCTGTTGTGGCAGAAGGAGAGAGAGAAGGGAAGGGGCATGGGGGGGGGGCAGATCAAGTCCCTGGTGGTAAGGGCGGGAGTGAGGCTGGGACAGGGGCCAGGGCAGGCGCTGCACAGCCGGAACAGGGCAGGTTGTGGGATGGAGCCGCAGGTCATCCGGGGGACACGGGGGCGGCTCTCACCACTGCATGCACCTCGAGAGGGCACGGGGGGCAGGTGCCCCCAGATCTGCACGGGGCAGGGCTTGCTGCCACTGCAGGCTGGGGCCAGGGCAGTGCCGGGCTCTTCCTGGCAGGGGTTGGGGCTGGGCTGCACTCAGGGTGGGTGGCGGCAGCGCTGAGAGGGCAGCACCTGCTGGGCAGCACATGCTCCAACCCAGCCCCACTCCCTCCCTCACTGTGGGGGCCTTGATATGCCCCTACTCGCACCCCTTCCCTCCCCCCTCCCCTTCCACCACAACAGACTTACCAGCTGAATGCAGCTCTCCAAGCTGCCAGGCTGTGCTCCTCACCACCTACATGCTGCGCTGCAGCTGGACACATGCACACGGCATTTATCGGGCAAATTATCGTGCTGCATTAGACAAATAAGCCAATTGCCAATACAATCGATTATCTTTATATCAGTGCTAATCCAATATTGGACCAGTGTATTGATGCACCTCTAATTTATACCCAGGTTGGATTCTATTTCCACCTGTGGCAGAATGAGACTGCCCAAGTATGCACATGCCTGTCAAAAGTTCTGGCCCCAGATTCTGCCCACAGTGGGCAGGATTTTGTCCAAAGGTTTTATCCAAATAAGGTTAAGTCAAAGTGCAGCACAGTCATCATAGACCGAGACCAGAGCCTAGGCTCCTGCCCTTCCAGGTCAGCAATTAATCTCAGGTTATGGACAAATGTACCTTGAAATGCTTTAAAAGTTCAGGGAAGCTAAACTCAGGAATGTGCAGCAGCTGTTACAGTCTGCTACCTCTGAATCAGCATGAAGCCATACGGGTGAACTAAACTGCCCCCATTTTGACCCCAAATAAAACAGGATTAAAGCTGGAGCCATCTTCCTACATTTGTATCACCACAGAATCAGGCTTATGCTTCAGGATGATGCAGAGGAGGGATGGAAAGAGCTCCAGGCAAAGCTTGGGCCCCACAACTTGTTGGTTACAGAAGTGATTCTCAACATTTTTTGTGCCAGGACCCATTTGTAAACATCAATAACCAGTCCCAACCCAGTGCCCCTCATTCCCAACCTGCTGCCTCCTGCCTCCAGACCCCAGACCCCCAGTGTGTGAGGCAGGGGGTGTGTGTATGGGATGAGGGGCCCCAAGCAGCCCCTTGCAGGCTGGAACTCCGATACCCTATAAGGGAAAAACCACAGTCTCCCATGTTTTTCATTTTTAAAGTTTCCTGATCCATTTTTAAAGTTTGTTCATGACCCTTTCAAATATTCTTGCAACACACTTTGGGTCACAACCCACGAGTTGAGAAACACTGGGTTAGAGCATTTTCTCTAAAACGGGAGATACAGGTTCAAATCCCCTCTCCATGAACAAGTCTTAGAACCCAGGTCTGCCACTCCCTGAGCAAATACCAAACTACCGGGCTAAAAGAAGAGAAGATGGCTACCACCACCTCCAACACATTTTCTGCAACTGAAGTTTTGGGACTTACCCAACATCATGCACACACGCAGGTGAGTCTATTCCATCCAGGAGCCTATGTGGCCATAGTACAGCCTTCTAGATACTCAGAAAGGAAAGAGAGACTGAGAGTAGCAACAAAGTGGAATGAGAAGCCAAAGTGTGTATAAATTGCAGTTAGGTGATTATGTAAGTGCCACTTCAGTGCATAAAGGTGAAAAAGGGGTTGTCCTAGTTCACTGCTCAATAATTCTGGTTTGCTCAGGAGGAGGCAGGGACTCACTCACTCCTTTACATGCAGGGCAGACCAATTACTGGAAAGCACAGACACCAAATACTAAATGATCTCAGCTCTTCCAGCCCACTGCCTAGAGAACTCATGTTTCCAACTGATACAGTATTATTGACCTATTCCAGCTCCCAGAGAATATACAAAATCCCTCATTTGTGTACCAGTCACACCACATTTGACACTAGTCTCTCTCCACCAAGTGTAGGGTTACACTTCCTGCTGCCCAGCATTTCAGTCCAGTGGCTCCAGGACTACCTCAAAAGCCATATTGGCCGATACCGATCCGATTGCCAATATGAGGGGGTGGGGGAAGGAAAGGGATGAAGCAGGGCAGATCGAAGCCACTGTGGTAAGGGAGGGAGTGGGGCTGGGGCCGGGCTGGGGCTGCATAGTCAGGGAAGGGCATGGGATGGAGCGGTGAGCAGCTCGTCCAGGGTGTGCAGGGAGGGAGACTGGCTCCTGCAGCTGCACGCACCTACAGAGGGGGCTACGAAGGAGGTTGCAGCCACCCCAGAATTCAGCGTAGCCCCTCGCAACCACCCTTCCCAGCACTGCCACTGCTCAGACAAGTCACTCATGGCTCCATCCCACACTCCACCCCAGCTGTGCAGCACCTAGCCCTGCCCCAGCCCCACTCCCTCCCTTACTGATGGGGCCTCTATCTGCTCGCCCCCCCACACCCCTTCCCTCACAACAGATATACCAGCTGGACCCAGGTGCTCTCCATGCTGCCAGGCTGTGCTCCTAGCTGCCTGCATGTTGCAGCTTGCTTTAAAACTAATATCACCTCAACATACCAGATTTTCATTCCCCAGTTTCCCTTCCCATGGGGGGCTTGGGGTTGTTTTTTAAACTTATGCTTTTTTCAGGTATCAAAGCCAATCTATTCATGTTGCTGTTAGTAAGAACCAGTGAACAGGTTGAATATTCAGGAGGAAAGTTGCTGTTTAAATGTCAAACATTAAGGCTATCACTTCCATTATTAAACTTTGCTTTTCAAGGGTTTTTCATTTGACATATTTATGCCATAAGCCCTAAAGACCCAAGGCTATAACCAGGGGTGGGGATGACACGAATTGGGGCAACTGCCCCGGACCCCACGATTTGGGGGGCCCCGCAGAGCCAGGCAGAACGGTGCTGATATCACCCCACACAGGCTGATTTGCCCCAGGCCCCGCACCCTGCTCGGGTTGTCTGGCTATAACCCACAAATTTGCCACATTATCTGAAGTGTCCCCTGTAGATTGTGGGTCAGATTCCATCCCCTGCAACACCTTTACACTGTTCCCTTGGTGTAGGGGCCTGTTCCTCCTGTCTTTGGCAACTGCTAGCATGGGGGCCTGCCAGTGTGGGATGGGGCAGGAGCAAGAGTGGCTAGCCTGCTCTGTACTCCAACTGTTCTGAGTCTATCCTGGTTTGTTTGTTTTTTAAAGTAGCAACAGATCTTAAAAGTCTATCTTTGGATGTGGACAAACTGCTTTAGGGGAGCTGCTGCTCGGGAAGGTGGATCCACTGTTTTGATGGCATGTATGCATGATTGTGTAATGATGCAAGTTAGATAAACTGACTTACTCCGATCCTGAACAAAACAGGGTTCAGGCTGTAGTAGTCTTGCTATATTTGTATCGGTACAGATGCATTGGCTGTATCATATCAGCTTGCATCACTAACCACATAATTGGTACAAATGTCTGTGCCCTTTCAAGCAGTGCTTGGAATAGGGAGCTGACAGGCACACACAGGGCACTTTGTTTTCACTTGTGAATTGGTTCAAATCTCACCAGGTCACACACAAAAATGAGTCTAATGGTCTCAGAAAGTCTTGACAGTGCTCACTCTGACTGCAACTCCCTCTGTGACCTTGGGATAGTTATTCTCTTCTCCACTTCAGTTCATCTCAGAGTAAAAGGGGAATAACCTTCTGACCCTACCTCTCAGTGCTCTTGGGAGGGCCTGTTATTTCATGTCTGTGAAACACTTGAAGACAAAAATTGATATCATCATTTCCAGATGTTTATCTCAAGCAAAAAAATCCCAGGGGCTATGGCAGGTCAGGCCTGGGTAGTGGCGGTGTGCCAAAGCTAGAAGAGTAGGGGAACTACTGGTGTGGATTGCACTGGAGACAACAGTAAAACCAAAAGGCAGCCAGCACTGCAACGTCAGCAGATTAAGGTGATAAAATCAGCATGGTAAAATCAGATCAGGAAGATAAATATCCCAAGACTTGAGGTGAACAAGGTGACGGAGTTAGACCTGGAATACTGCAGTTGACACAAAATGCAACCCTAAGCAGCTTGCAATTCCACTAGTATCTGCAAGAAAGAGGACAAAGCTGTAACTAAGGATTTTACTGATGATGGATAAACAGAATAAGCAATTCTCTCTATCTGTTTGGGGAGAAGTCAGCAGTTAGTTCCACTCTCAGGATAACTTGTATATGATCCTTTTTAATTAAAAACAGTATGTAAATATAAATAGATTAGGTCCTCAGGCTCCAGACAAAATACCCAAGAGATGTTGAAAAGACTAGATACCCTGGCTACTTCCATACTGTAGCACATTTGGCATGTAAAATCCCTTACTGTTCAGGCTGCATCTCACTAGCCTACCCCAGCAGGATGCCTCAGCACAGGGCCCTGTGGCTTTGGCAGGGACATCAAAACCCCTGGTGTGTTCTGGATGGCAAGGTAGCTGTGTGGGGCTTCCTTTCTATCAAGCATCTCAGAGTGGATGCTTTGTTTGTCACTGCCAACCACTTAACCATTCTACCTTTGCAACTGATCTTGCAAGGACCAAATGAGACCTACATGCCCTGCAGTTTGGACAATACTGTTCCTTGCCAACATAAGCTTGGGGGGGGGCTACGCATATACCTGTCTTTTGTGCAGAAATACAAGTTAATAGAAAATGCCCTTTGGTTATAGTGGCAAACTTACTGCATGTCCAACAACACCTGAGGATAGGAGACAAGGATCTACAGAAAAAACATACATGTTCTCATTGAAGCATTTGTCACACGGAGACACAAATCTGCTCTTGTGCTTACCCTCAAGGATAACCTCCTTGCCAGTCTTTTTCAGTGCTTGCACAGCCTCATCATGCGTAGCCTCAGAAAGATCGGTCCCATTGACAGAGAGGATAGCATCTCCCACATACAGCGCCTCAGTCTGATCTGCAGCCAGCCCCTTAAAAATCTTGGAAATCAAAATGGGCATTTTATTCTCACGTCCACCTTAAAGCAAAGAGAAAAGAAAGAAAGCAATTACAGGTCACTTTACTTATAAATCTGCATGCAGTGGTGTGACAAATTCTACTCTAATACCAACCTGGCTAGATAAATCTGGGCCTCTGTACAGAAAGGTGGCCACACTGTGGTTTGCAAGCCACGTACAGCTGTCAGGTAGTTTAAATGCAACTCACAAAGAAGGTTGTGTGACAATTAATTGTTACCTGAGGTGATGTACCAGGCACCTGATAACTGACTCTAAGACTGAACCTCTTGAAAGTTGTGTCTAAACACTCTTGATCAGGCTAAGTTTTGGCTTGCAGTTTGAAAGGTAAGAAGGTTGGCCACCCCAACTATATACGAAGACTTAGCTCATTTTTCCCAGTAGCAAATATTTCTGTCAATTTTTAAGGGACTGTAAAAGGGAACCCTAGCCCTGTTACCAGAAGGCAGGTCGGCCCCTTTAAGACCAGAACTTTCTGGGCACAGCGTGCTGGTAAGGTGAGGGTTAAAAGCTGAGCCAGGCCAGCTAGTCAGGTGACCAGAAGGGGGCAGGCCAGAACTATAAAAATGCTGGGCTGGGTGGCAGTAGAGGGGAGCAGCCAAATGGGAACGACTGCGTATAAAAGCTCCACGGAGAGGCTTGGTGAGTGGTCCAGCTGCTGGAGGAGGGGAACTATTGAGGACCCCAGAGAAGCAGCAGCATCCCCAGAAAGGAGGACTGTAGCAGATTGGGGGTGGGGGGGGGAGTAGAAGCACGAACCCCTGAGAAAACGTAAGCTGGTGTGCTGCCTTCTTTAATTATATTTTTTGGTGGTGGCTATAGCCCATGAACAGACTTATATTTTTTTGATTTCATAGATTTCATAGGCATTAGGGCTGGAAGGGACCTCGGAAGATCATCGAGTCCAGCCCCCTGCCCAAAGGGCAGGAAGTCAGCTGGGTTCATAGGATCCCAGCAAGATGAGCATCCAGTTTGCTCTTGAAGGTGTTCAATGTAGGCGCTTGAACCACCTCCGGTGGCAGGCTGTTCCAGACCTTGGGGGCTCGGACAGTAAAGAAATTCTTCCTTATGTCTACCCTGAAACGATCTTGTAGTAGTTTATGACCATTCGACCTAGTCGTCATCCCTTAGGGCGCTCTGGTGAACAAACGTTCCCCTAGATACTGGTGGTCACCCCTGATAAACTTATAAGTGGCCATCAGATCACCCCTGAGCCTGCGCTTTTCCAGGCTAAAGAGCCCCAGGGCTCTCAGCCTGTCATCGTAGGGTCTGCTTCCCTGACCTCTGATCATGCGTCTCTGGACTCTCTCAAGCTTCTCCACATCCTTTTTGAATTGTGGAGCCCAAAACTGGAAGCA